ACGTAATTGCTTTTGGATATTTCGATATATCATTTTACATACACTTACATTAGATTTATTACTGCTTGAAAGCAACACAGAATTAGACATTTTTTAAAAAATATCAACTGGAAAACAGAAATTTTGCTATACAAAATAATGCTTAGTCGGTAGATACTCGGGAATTTTTGAAACATGTATCAACATGAAGAAAGATGTGATTTTTACAAAGTTTCAGATAATCTAATCTAAACTGCTGAAATACTTTAATTCTTTTCTTGATACGTTGAGTGCTTACTGAGTGCTATCTCAATTAACGGTATTACTTTTTGCAGGTTACATATTTTACCGATGACTTCATATTAAACCGTTACATACAGTTTTCTCAATAATTTCTATCTTAGGTGTATCTTTTGTCAGCAATTTGTCATATATCAATAGTTTTTTGGTAAACTGTAACTGCTGTATTTTTTGAGAAAAATGATAGATCAAAATTTTTTAAATACGTGTAGAAATAAATAAGAAAAATATTTTTCAGTAGTAAATTTTTGACGTTTAGTATCTAATCTCAGAATACGATGACACAGAGATCTGATGTTTCACGCTGGTTTTCATTTGTGCCATAACCGGTTATGTTGCTCTGAACAAACTGCACCGTTTCAGAGCAATGATAACACATCTTATTCAGCTTTCTTATTACTGTTTATTAATCATCAGTAACTGATAAACTGTAAGATGTAGTAGCCAACAATTTGTTCACTAATTTGGTTTCTGAATATAAGCTTTACTGTAGACACCATATGTAAGTGACTGAACAGTTAGACTTACCGCAAAAATTTTATGTTGTGTAACATTCCTCTGGTCTTGTTGACAGAGAGTTTAATTTTACAAACAGCAGTTGTGTACCTATGCAACAGTTTTGTGCCAAATTCAGTTCATTTCCGGTAATTTTATTTTATCTGCTGAAATGACGGAGCTGCAATTACTCAGTTTTTGATTTCAGTAATCAAAAATCCGGAAAAAAAATAATGAATTGCTGTTATTCCCTGGGCCATCAAAACTTTGAAAGTTCAAAGAAGTGAAATTGAATTAGCGTTAATGAGCAGTTTCAACTCAACAAAAAGTAGCATCAATTTTGTAAAGAAATATACACAATTGTAGTTACCCATCAGAATAAAAAAAAAAAAAAAACAGAAATTCCTTTCCTTCTCTTAAATCGTTAATCAAATTAGCTTTTCAAAAAGAGCAACCTCAATCACCCAACGGCAATAACGGTATTTATTGAATAGTAAGAGTTGTAGAAGTTTGCAATTTTTTTTGGCACCATTAACCAAATTAGCCACCTTTCATTCATCAGAATTGCCTTTTATAAGAAAGAAAAAGTGGAATTTTTTTTTGTATTTGCAAATTCAATTCATTTATTACAAATTACTTTGTACAATTCAAAAAAAAAAATACAAAACAAAAGTAGCAAACAAAGCACAGTGATCATTTAACGCAATACATAACACATAACAGTAAATTTTGTAAATTTCTTTCGTTTCTTTTTTTTTTTTTAAATGTAAATTTCTGTAATATATTTGGAGAAAAGCGTAGAAATGAGAAAAGAACAAACAAATAGAATAATATTTTGCATGCAAAAAAAAAAAGAAACAGGGAAGGAAGGTGAAAAGAAATTTCACTGCTATCATTTGTTTAATTTAACTGATTGTTTGCGTAAATTCTTTGTTCGTGCAAAAAATGGAAAATCAAATGTAAAAAGTTTTGTAATTTGATTAACACCACCTCAAAAACAGAAAAAAAGAATTTTCTTAATGCTAATAGATACATACATTCTGTTGTGTGAACACACAAATTTCACTGCAACCACTCCTTCTTCCTTGCCTTTGTCCCTCAATTTTTTTTCTCCCTTTATTGTTGCACCACTCACTTCTTCGAAAATATTACCATTTCAGTGAAAATATATATTTGAGAACATAGAATTCAGACTGATAATCATCTAAATTTCTATTATAATTGCTTTTTTTCCCACTTCTTGATTTTTGCCGTTTGTAAAAATAAAGCAAAAGAAAAAAATCACTTTTTTTGTCAAACTCACTGTCGCTGTCGTTTTTCAAGCTATCCTGATTTCAATTCAAAAGAAAAAATTACTTATTACACAAAATTATTATCAGCGTATGAAAATGGAGGGTAAGAAAGAAAGAAAAACGAAATTGAAATGAAATTAGCACTAGTGTAGTTGGAGAATTCATAAACTTTATCAACAGTTGTTCCTTGATTTAAGGCACCGCACACAGTTGAATGACAGGAGCAACTGCGGTTATGCAGTGACATAAAACTGTGAGCGTCACTGTTCAATGGTTGTTTCCTGCTGTTTTTTTCTACCTACCATTTTACCGTCAGACTCTTACCTAAAAAAATTTGTTTGTCTCTAAGAACGTACGAAAAAGTTAAATTCAAGTGGTGCAAAATTAAAAAAAAAAAAGTAGTAAAACTAACATCAGTATAGTTTTCCGGTTCTGCCAAAGGCGCTTGTGGTAGTAAAACGTATCCAGGAGCGGTACTGGTATATCGCGGTACTGTGCTGTTCGATGATTTTACTACATCAAATTGTAACGGCGAAGACATTGTATTTTTCAGCCTCTACAAATACTACGCTGAACAGTCAATATGAAAAAACCCAACGTCGTGTAAGCGTTTGAACAGCAAAGATATGGCCAGTAAGGCCTTTTTGTCTGATGTCAGATATTGTAGATGTCATACAGCTGCTCCATAGCAATAAATTCTTTGTCAACGCTCTTCTCAACTACAAGCAAATATAAAACAAAAAAAACTCATTACCTGCATTTTTGTTACACCAGGCCCTTGAGAACAAATTTTGTATAGTATAAGCGTCATATATAATGGAATTGGTAAAAGGGGTAAACAACTGATACCCCAACCAACAAGTTCCGAGTACTTCCATCCAGTAATCTTACTATCCATACTTGAATCGTCGTATTTTTGCAAGTTGAGCACCAGAATGCCCTATAAAATCGGGTCACTTAGCAAAATCCACTAATTAGGCTCAAAAAATACCCAACTGTTCAATCAATAAACTATTTACTCTCTTAATTTTAAAAAGTTATTAGGATAAACTAGAAAGATTTTATTTATATAACAAACACTTACAATTGGTACAACTGGTAACAGGTAAACAAAAAGCAACAGGAAGTAACCAAAGCACCAAGAACATGAGTTAGAAAGCATACTACGTAAGTCTTTGCCCAGTTTAAACGCACCTGAAAAACGTCACTCAATGTTTACCTAAACTTAATAGTCATTTTCTGTCAGAAAATTGCTGTTAAACTTACAGTAAAACCATCCAATCGCCAACGTTTCAAAGAATATTATAATCCATAAAGTCACTTGTCCCATGTACAGTGAAGCAAGTTTATGAACATAATAACCGCCCTGAAATGAATTCCTTCTAAACTTTGCAGGAAAACATTACATTTTAGGCTTTTTTCTAAAAATTAAGACAATGAAAGATGATAAGAAGCATAAAGTACCTGTGTTGTGTAGTAAAGCCCAAAAACGCATCCTAAGCAACAAACAAGGAAAGCTAAACAGAAACGTGGAAAGCACTTTGACCATTTCTCTCCAAAGGCGTCTTCAAAAGACGATAGAGCGTTCAAAGACAGTAAGTACTGCAAAAGGACTTTCACTTATTCTGAACGTTTAAACAGACCAAAAATTGCCTTTCAGCAAATAAAACTGCATGAATAAGTTGTTACTGCCTTAGAAAAGAGAAATAATTCAAAAATAGAGTTTTTTTTAAAAAGTCCAAGGTCTTCTCTATTTTCAAACATAAACGATATATATTGTTGAAAATAAAAATAAAAACGAAAAACGACTACTTACAAAAATGTTTAAAAGTGCAAAAATAAACAGCACTAAGAGAATTCCTGTCCAAATCCGAACATCTGGTATATGTTTCAAATACGATAATAGATACCACATCTGGGCTTCTCCTAGAAATCGTATCTGATTTTTAAACAATTTAATTAATCAGGCAAAAATGTCAGAGTAACAACTGTCTGTTTGTTACTCGGTACCTCGTTCGAGAAGATCTACAGCTGAGATTCCGGTGCGATACCGGACAAAACCAATCAGGCCAAAAGTTGTTAGAACTTGCATCATTGTCAGGACACAATGACCAAACATGACCAGCAAAGAGTCACTAAAATAGAGTAAAATATACTACAATCAGACAAACGTTATTAAAATAATTGTGCTCTAAATTTTTGAAATAACTGTACGTCATAAGTAAAAAGCATAATATAATAGAGTAAAATAGCGTGTCAACAGTTAAAAAGAATTTTGGTTTATTTTACCTAACTAACCAACAACATCTAAGTAATCAAAAATAAGTAGTTGTTCTAAACAAGCATACCCAATTAAATTGTTTGATCGTTTACAGTAAGAAGCGATTGTCATAAAAGCACCAAAACCAACTCCGGTGGCTAGAAACGCTTGCTCTACAGCAACCTTCCACATCTAAACACAAATAAAGTTGTTCAATTTTAATTTTTTTATTTAGAGGATAAATAAAACATGGTCCACGGTGAATTTTACACTAATATTTTTATGCATCTTACTAACAGCGAGTAAAAACAGTAATGCCAATTTTGATAATACAAACATTATAGTCTGCCATCCTTTGCCAATCAGTTAAATCGTAGACTTCTTGTAAGATCTCCATAACTCCAGTTAATGTTAGAGCTCGTACCATAATAATTGCAAGAAGCACTAATGGAGTAATAAACGTAAAATGAATTACCTGCAAAAAATTTGAAATTTTTCTTGTAAATAGAAAAATGCACTTGTTTAACAGCTTTTAACTTTCTATTGAAATATTTCTCTCGAAGAAGAACAATATTAAAACAACCGCAACAGATAAAAATTGCACATACCTTGCCTAACCATCTGACTCCAAAGCAGATAGTAACAAAAACAAGTATCCAAACAAGACCAAACGAACCAAGTATATATGGCTGGAAAACACCAACTTCTGTTATACTAGACGAAGGTTTATCGAATGTTCTAAACCACAATAAGTAAGTAAACCCATCAATTTTAAGAAAACTCAAAAAAAGTTTTTCCAAACGCTTACAAGATTAATTTGTGATAGAAAAAATTTCAGATTAATTTTAGCAGTTGGTAAAAAAATACGATAAAGTACAAACTTCATAAACTGATAGAGTGAGGATTCCTTTTCGAGAACACATAGTTTACTTGCACCTTCCAATGAAGTGTTTGTAATTAGTCCAGCTTCACGACATGACAATTCATTAAACTCCGGATATGTTCCACAATTCAACCACGGTAAACCTGCAGTTATATTACTGTATAAATACTAGCACAAAAAGTTTATTCAAAAATTTTTTTTTTCGAATTTTAGGTTTTTTAAAAAAAAAGGTGTACAAAAAAAGCATATTTCATTAAACAAAAGATTAGTTTGAAAAAACTTACCAGGACGTTCGGCTAAGACTGCCCATATAAGATAACCAAAGTAAATAAGTAACCAGCCTAGAAAGCGAGCTAAATGTGAGATCAAAATCAACGAGAACGTTACTTGCGCCACACCAACACCTGAAAATTCAACATTGGTCGAAAAGAGTAAATTTTGTCTGATTTAAAGTGAAAGTTAAATCTGAGTGTTTCATGTTGTAAGATTCAGACCGAAAAAACATCAAAATTTTTGTAAGTTGAATAATTGTAGGTTATGCATTGTGCCACCGATGTAATACTTTTTTAAAAACCACAAAACATTTATTAGCACCACAGTTCATAAATTAAGCGTAATCTGATATTCACTCATTAGAACTTTCGTTGAGCAATGCCAACACTTTAAAAAAGAAATTTCTCTAGAAGAACCCGGCTAAGTTATTAAGCTAAAGATGAGTCTATAGATAGTATCAGACATTCATGTAAATAGAGAAGAAAAAGTTTACTTTTTTAGAATAATTAGTGCTTCAAACCTAGTTTAAGACTTTTCCTAAAGTATTTATTAATTGGCAAATTTAATTATTATCTGAACATATAAAACTAAAAGCTCATTAGTACAGCCAGCAAGACGTCAGGTGCAAAGTTTGCATGAAATTAATTAGCTGTATTTCTTAAGTGCTTAAAGATCTTGGTCAACAAGTACATTTTATTGGTTATAAAAATCGTTACAAAATTTTCAATTAAGCATTAGTGGTACTTTGAAATTCCAACTTTTTTTGGTATGATAAAAAGGCATACTTGACAAAACGACAATTATCTTGTGTGCCTTTGACCAAGGCTTTTCCTGCCAGTTTTATTTACAAAGTCTTTGCAAAAAAGTCTTGGTAATTTGGCTAGTTCTCTGCAAATATTAAGTGTGCTTATTACATTTTTATCCGCTAAATTTGCTGAGGCAACCCATTTTGAAGAGTAACTAGTGCTATAAAATTGAACATTAAATTCATATTATACTAACGATAGTTACTGAAAAACTGTACAACTCAAACAAAACCACAAATATCGTTTTAGCTTGTTTTCTAAATCATTTCTTACACTTTAGCTGTTTATAAAAAGGAATCTTTTAGAAGAATTGTTTTTTTGATGCGCCTCTTCCACTTATGCTTTTAAATTTTTAGTAGAAATCACTAAAAATTTAAACATTTATTTTAGCTTTTTCTGTCTGTAAAAACAGTGTTCTAAGCTATGAGGAAGAGAAGAAGCAGATGAAATACGCTAAAACTATAATCTTTGTCAGATAACTCTTTTTCATTTAGCCTTTGAAAAAATCTCTTACTAGAGCTTTTCAACAAAACACTTACAATATCTACCGATTATCCTAACTTACTAATATTTATTTTCAAAAGACTTTACAATGGTTCTGTACTAATGCTTGGTACAGCTGGCAAATGCCAGAAAGCTTAAATCTTTAAATATCATTATTACGCAATAAAGTCAGATGTTGCTTTACCTAAGATATAAAAGTTTCAAACATTTAAACGTTTAAGGTAAAAATTACAAAGAAATTTGAGAAATAATTTTTTGTTAATATGAAACCAGATAATTTTAAAATGCCACAGAAAAAAAATGCAAAGAAGAAGTGATGTTTAAAAGTGAATAAAAATACATATATAAAACCCAGAAAAAATCGGTGTCTCAGCAACACTAGATACATTTTACGTTTTAATTGTCTTCTTAATACTTTTAAGTTTTCACCTTCCCACTATTATGAATAAAACTAATTTCGTTAAGGAGAATTTTTTAGCATCTATCTGGTGCTTTTATGCACATTTTAACGAAACAAACCTTTAAACAACGGGCAAAGATTATATATAGCTAACGGCGGAGCACGACCCGTTAACTGACCAACGGTCAATTCCATAACTATAAGCGGAAATACGCATGCAATCAGAGCCGTTCCATATGCCGATACGAAAGCTACTAAAATTGGAGCTGCTTTAAATTGTTGAATTTCTGCCCAAATAGACAAACGAAAAACAGTTAGAAGTCTAAAAATCGAATTATTATGGAGTATTTTCAAGCACAAAAGAGAGAATTATATAGTAGTGTTCCAGCGTTAAAAAAGGTTTCAGAGTAATGTCTAAAAAATAAACACATATATATGAACTTACATCCACCATTATCAAAAATTAGACGTGGTAAATTGAGGAAATTTGTTGTTGCAAAAACGTATGAAAGCAATGCAACAAATAGATCAACTTTTGTCGACCAAAGATCTCTCCACTCTTCGACAATTAATGAAGACATCTTCAGATTTGACCAACTTCGTTCCTCAAACCACATTAAATCTACTGTTCAATTTCCTCGATCTTTTATCTACAAACAACAGTATTTTTACTTAATACATCAACTTCTTTGCAGAAGACTGAATCAATTACCGAGGAAAAAAAAAACAAATGACTGAGAAGAGAAAAGATGATAAAGCAAGACGATCAAATTGACTAAACTTTATTCGCTTTGTTACATCGACTTTTCACTGTTAATTTTTTTTTTTTTTTTTAAATCAGTCATCAATAAGTGATTCTGTTGTAATAAAAAAGTTACAAAAAAAACTTCATTACATTGAAATTCCATAAGTTTATTCTTTACTGAAAAGCCTCTTTGTTATTTTTTCAATTTAATTTTGTAAACAGTGTTCTGATGAATTTACATTAATAACTGTGATAACAGCACTGAACAGAAAAACTTACAACTTTCTGTCATAAACAGCTTCACTCCAATGTTGTGATCTTCCATCAGATTTTCAGTTTAAACACCCCAGAATACAGACACTTAAAACCGTTGCAAGCAATACGATGGAAGAACTATGGGCTGCAAATTAGAAAAGATAAAATGAAAAGAAGGAAAACAAAGTTACATTCGTTTGTTCAGTTCCCCAAGTGATTTTTTTTTTCTACTACTTTCAAGAAATTTTTCTTCTGACTTTTCAACAAATAATGGTAACATAACCACTTATGTTTCAAAAATAATGCTAAACTCTGCGCAGAAACCAACTAAAATTTGAGGTTTGTTAAGCTCTAGAAAAATTAATGAAACTTTTTACCCTTATCAGTTCATTTTCCTCTTCAAAAAATCAAAATTTGTTAATAATGATTCTTTTTTTATAGCTAAAATACCTGTACCGTGAAAACAGTTTGGCTTTATAACTGCATCTAGTTTTAAGCTTCTTTTTTCGCACGTTCTTAAGAGGATATAAGATAAACAGAGCAAAAACTTTGCTTTTTGTTTTCTTTGCTGTACCAGCACTATCAATAAAAAAACAGTAAATAAATATTATACTAAGATAAGTATTAGTTAAAACTGTTTAGCTTAGACCTAATGTTCAACTTGCTTTTTACTACTTCTTTATTTTCCAGTTAACATATAAAGCTCCATATCACCCTCTACTCCTCAAAGTACAAAAATGACAATCACTTTTCTTTTTTTGAATTTTCTGACATGAATACAGCACAAAAGTGATAAACAACCTGGTTAAATGATCTTTTTTCACTTAACTATTATCAGTAAAGTTAACTGTTGCTTCAATAAGTAATAAAAATTAAGGTAAACAAACAACTTATTTTTGGTCATCTTTAAACCGTCAGTTCACTTAAATGTAATCTACCTTAGTAAACAGAAAAAATTGAAATTGCTATTAAAAAAATGAAACTTGTCATTTTTCTCATTATTTTACTAAACTTTAGACGTTTAAAAAAATAAGCAAAAAGAAATACTTACCTAAAAATGGCTTTGGTCTTACTTCTGTACCCAAATTATTATTGCTCGGCTTGTTGTTGTAGTTTTTACAGCATAATTCTGCTAAAACATACAGAATAATTTTAAAGTTTATTTTAGATAAATTTTCTTTGGATTAACCATATAAACGTTTGTTACAGATTGCTGATATTTTTGAGTTAAAGACGTTAGAAAAAACCATCAGCATTATATCAGCAATTAATTGCTGCAAAGGCAGCAACAAAAAAATACTGATAACAACGACGTTAATCATCAATAAGCAAAATTTTGAATAAAACAAGTTTCTTGTTTTCAAATGTTTTATAGGTTTACTGCAAACAACAATATACCTTAAGTTTTTTGCATAAATACAGCACATAGTTTGAGTGTTTGACAATAATAACTAAAAAAAAATATTTTTGTATAAAGAGTAAATATCGAAACAAAAAAAAAAAAAACAAACAAACAACGGTAAATATACATTACGTATAATAAAAAATAAAAAAAAGTATATAATCAAAATGATTGTAAGAAAAAGTGCACAATATGAGTATTTTTTGATTTGTTACAGACAGTTAATAAGAAATTTTTTTTTTTTTTTTTGAAATGCTAATATATTAGGCAAATAGTTGACGAACAAACTGATCGAATGTTTCAAATACCTTAGTTATCTAATGCCCAATTTTTTTCGTCTTTTTTATCGGTTTCTGTTGCTCCTATTATTTAGTAATTTTCATTCACTGTCACCATAAATTTGATACAACTCAAAATATTAAATAAAATATACCAAAAAAAAAAAAAATAAAAAATTTGCCATTACTATATAAAACTTTTACAGTAAAAAGCACTCAGAATTCTCAAATTTCTCCACTTTTTTTGTTCAAAAAATTGTATTGGAATTGATAACTAAAATACTCAATAAACTTTTAGTTCAAAAATAGAGACTGCAAATTTTAATTACAATACGAATAATAATAATAATAATAAGTAAAAAAAGAGGAGGAAATTAAAACCGAATCAGTACAGCAATAGCAAAAAAAAAAAAAAACCACTTATATTTTACTCATATTTTTCTCTCTATTTTTTCTTCTCAATAATATTCAAACGAGTCAGTTATACGTCAAAGTGAAAGATACGTTCTGATAGAAGTTTGTTGGTTATGTTTATGTTTAAAAGTAAATAGCAACTTTTTTTTTTGAAAAAAAATGATTCATACCACTGTAACAAAAAAAACACAAAATAAAGTAAAATTAAAAATAAAGAAAAAAATAAAAAACAGCAGTTTTTGTTTTTGTTTTATCCTCAAAAAATTGATTCTATTGAATTTTTATTGAATTAACTGTGAATTATAAATCACAATACTTTTTGTAAGTAAAACCTCCCAAAAAAAGGTCACTGTGTTATTTGAGAATAAAATTTTTTGAATAACTTAGCTGATGACGTACAAAGGTTTTTTTCAAAAAAAAAACGAACAAATATATATACATAAGTGCAAAAAGTGTAAGTCTAATCTAGCAAGCGCTTAACAAAAGATTAGATAGAACAAAAAATAA